AAGAAATCCGACGTCACCTGTTCTTGTCGCCCCAAGGCAAACAACAACAACAACAACAACGAGGTGGGGTTTTGTAACGACGTCTATGCACTCACTGACAGCGTAAGAAGCCAAGGGCGTGGCTTATTATGCTAATTCACGCTTCTTGCTCCGCGATTGGTTCTTCCACGGTCTTACCGGCTAATGACGCAACGCCATTGGCTGCGGAGTGACAACAATTAGATGCTCGAGACTGGTGACTATAATAACAACTTCGTATAACACTCTAAAAGAAAAAAAAAAATTGTTGTCTTCTGCCTTCCGCCGCCCCCCCCCCCCCCCCCCCCCCCCTCTTTCCTGAAAAAAAAAAAAAAAAAAAAAAAAAAATCAAGTCTTGCGGATTGTTCATACGCCACGCGAAATAGTTCTTACGAAATTTCGTTATCGGAAGGGGAAGCGACGCTTTTGGCCTTTGAAGCGTGTGCGTCTTGATAAGATAACACATATCTAATCTAAAATGCGCCCCCTACACGTTTCTGAATACTCCACGTAAAGGTGGGAATGAGTAACGCTTAACAAAAAGCCGAACTTTTTTTTTCACCATAGTTTTTTTTAGGTGAAAGCGAGTATAGAGCGCCTACTTTCCAGCAAAGCAGTTGGTTGAGCCACTCGCTGCAATTTACGGAGCGAGATCTCGGCGAATATCGCCAAACTAAAAAAAAAAAAAAAATGTGTTCAAACAAAAAAGAAGAAAAACAATTCGGGCTGTGAGACCGAAAATGGCGTAAGCGCGCATAACGATACGCATGCGCAGTGTAACAGCGCGCGGTCTGATCTTTTTTTTTTTATGTCTATACATATTTTTTTGTTTCGTCATACGCTGAGCTCTCTTCGTAGATTGTAGCAAATAACTCTCCCAAATGCATTGCAAAAAAAAAAAAAAAAGCGCCTTAGATTTTTTTTTTTTTCCGCGGTGGTTTTGTTTATGCATCATACAAGAGACACGCGGAGTTCTTCTCCGCGGTCATTTATGCCATAGATTTATCCGCGGACAAGCCTCAGACAGTGTCTGCAGGCTGCCTTTTGGTATCACTGTTAGTTGGTGGATTGCACAAAACAAACGTTTAATGCGACAGATGTCATTGGGATTACAAAATGGTTACCAATATGCGGACATTATGCGACGCCGCCATTACGGAAAAAGCCCCTCGTCGAGCAAGAGTTCTTACACTGTCATCCTCCCGTCGGAATGTTCTTTTCTTCCCCCAGGTGGCGCTAGCTTCCGCCCCTAACAATGATGCATTAGGGCTGTGACCGCGGCTTTAAAGATGACTCTATTCTAAGGCACTGCCTCATTGTTTCCAACTCGCCCGTGTTGTGTTCCCAGAAACTGTATGAGAACATAATAAACCGCGGAAACACGGAAACAAAAAGGACGTACACTACACACAACACCGGCTTATTTTGTTGCCTAATCATTCATCGGCTCACCGGCGCCCTCAGTCTTCTATGAGTCGGAAACTATATATATGTTTGCATTCGTATCTTCACTCGAGCGGATGGGCGTGCTGGTGCGAGAATAAATCTCCCGACATATTCGTCATTTTGGTCTTATTGCAATTATTTTAGTCGCCTCAAACACGCAAACTTTGTCCTTCCAGCAATGCGTTAAGTAGGAAGCGTTTCCAGAGAATCGAAAATAAAAATAGCCATCAACGCGAAAAAAAAAAAAAAAAAACACGAAAGGATAGCGTTAGTGGCAACTTCAGCGAAATGACGGCACCTAGTGGCTAGAAAACAAAGCTGTCGCGGCAGGTCAGAGCCTTCTGGCACGGGTTTGCTCGACAACTCTCTCTCTCTCTCTCTCTCTTGTTTTAAGCAAGCTAGGCATCATCGAACGCTCAGTTTCTGTCCAAGCGTAGCGCTGTACCACATGCCAAAATTTCAGAAGGCACCGTAATCTCACCCAAAAGTTACAAGCGATTTTAGAAAATTTTCAGTGGTAAACTGGTGGCCGTCGAAGCCCGGAGAAAAAAAGGGCTGAAGGGCAAAAACTATCGAGAATGGGCTTTATTCCCACTAAAAGTATCAGAAAATCGAGTTATATAACTTGCGAATAATTGGTCTGGGAGGACACGTTGTATAAATTCGAAAGCACGGGATCAAAATCGCCAGTACTCCGTTTCACTCACATCCTCACTCACCAAGGCGTGGAGCCATGGAGCGCCCGGTCGCAGATTCGGAGCACGAGGATCTGGTAGCACAGATCTCTCTTTTTTCCCCACTGGAGCGACAAACAGAAACAAACAACAGCGCCAAGCCTGAAAGACACGCAGTATGCTCGCGATAACACCTTTGGCAGGCGTTTAGTCATTCGGTGCTCGTGACGTAGGCAAGAGTGATTGCAAGCCTGCGAAAGATACCCTCGCGTGCATGATGCTCCTGCTTGAGCTTAGCGTCCTCTATTCTACAAAGTCTGTCAAATAGCAAAAGACTCTCGTCTTGAGGCTTGTCGCTGTCCTTTGTTTCTGTTTGTCGCTCTAGTGAGACTCCGGCTATAGACGCTTTCAGGCGCAGCCGGAACCGACCTTCTGTTTTAGTTCCCTCTTATTCCGCTCGCTTCACTTCACCATCACCACAGCAGGACAGGTTATTGCCATTCTAGGTGTTCTCCAGTGGCTCGGTAAGACAAAAGCGAAGGTCGGCTATGGCGGCTCCATCTGGCCCGTGTTTAAAGCGCCGATACGCTATCACGTTAATACAACTGGCGGCCAAGCTGTACAAGTCGATCGGACATGAATCCTTTGTTCCGCTTCTCCATGATATATGATTGTTATTCCTGTACAGCTCGCCTACACGTTTGCATTAATTGCTTTATAATCAAAGACCCGTTCACACACTTTCGGCTTGTGCCGAGTTCCTCGAAACCCTATCGGGTAGCAGTGGAACACTTGACGGTGCCGTATATTTTGTATTTCTTTCGCGCATCATTCTTTCTTCCTTGGATCGAAACACTTTTGTCATCGTCATAAACGACCATTTTTCATAGGTAGTACGAACGTTTGAGCTCGCGAATACCGCCAAGCATTCGCTCTAGTAAAATGAAGTCACAAGTCACGAAGCATAAACATAATAAATCACATCCTCGAGAAATTATGCTCTTATACGTCATATCATGCTCCTGACGACACACCAATGTGGTGTATGTGAAACAGGGCACACGAAAACACTTCCTTTTCAAAAAAAAAAGAAAGCGTGCTTTTTCGCAGGCGCAATGCCCGCCGGTGTACTCCGGGTGTTTCTTCACGCGCTGGCAGGCAGTACACACAGACAAGCTGCGCTAAAGCCACGTCGGAAATAACTGCGGATTTGGTTGATCGAAGGTGACACACATACTGACGAGTCAACGCGTCACACAAAATAATAATTGGGTTGTGTGTGTGTTTATACAGCCTAGAACTTGGTCTGCCTCGCAGGGGCGACGAGTCTCCCAGCTGTAGATGAGAAATTTAGCCAGTGCGGTACAGCCGCTAGCCTGGGGTCTTTAACGTGCACCACGCAGTAGTGATACACGACCGCACGCCGGTACGATGCTCATCCAGATCGAAACGGGCAGGGGTGGGGATCGAACCCAGGGTCCCTGTGTTCTGCAGCGCGGGCTTTCGCTCCACGTGCTCCGAGCGGGTGTGCGCTAAACCACTCCGCCACCGATCCCCCTTCGCGTCACACATGCATACATACAGTTCCAGCGTTTACAAGTTCACGAGCCAGCGTGCGATCTTCGTAGCCCAGCACGCGCGTAAAGCACGCGCCGCACGCACGCACCCTGAAAATGGCGCCGGCCAAACTCCCGTTTCTGGAATGCATGTCTAGGGAGTACATCATCAACTGTATACGCATACCATCAGAACGGAGTGTGCAACTAAACTAGGCCTCTTTAGTCTAACTCCACGATACTGTAAGGGCCTTTGAGTGCAACATAGAATGTGAAAATGGACGTCTAAACGACCCCATTAGGGCCTCAGTGCCCTGTGTACATTTCGAATTTTTTTTTTATTCCCTTACATTTATTTTCAACTGAACAATATTACAAATATTGACAGTTAGAAACACACATCTCTAAGACTCTTTACTCTTTTTTTTTTCAAGTCAAGGTAGAAGTGAGAGGTTAATGTCTTTCTCAAGGGGTGCCCGATGTATCTGCTGTAGTACAACTGCTAACCTAAGGTCTCTAACGTGCATTATGCAATAGTGATTCCACGAACACGCTCCGCGGCGACGTTCGTTTTGAACGAAACGGGCAGAGTAGGTGAGGGGGAGCCCAGGGTCCCACGAGTACGGCAGCGCGAGCTCTCGCTCACGTGCTCCGAGCTAGGGCGCGCTAACACACCCGACTACGGATTGTCCAGCCGGCTTTCTTTTCCTTTACATTCATAGAAACATAAACGTAATTCACGCCACGAAATGAAGAGTTGTATTCGAACAAAAAGCTTAATAAAAATGCAACGTCGCCCACCACAAAAAAAAAAAAAAAAAAAAAAGAACAAAAAACTACTGCAACAAAAAACAGCAAACACGAGGACTCGGTTTCTACTTCTACGAGTTAAAATAAAAGAAATACCCAGTCTAACGTTGAGCATGCATTGCTTTACCAGAGTCCTTGCTTTACTAATGAAACGAGGCAAGGACTAATTCAAGTGTCAGCCTCCGCGACGAACGCCATACGGATCGCGTGCACAGGCTGGAAGGAACGCAGCAAGAGACGCCGGACGTACCATGGAAAATGACAGACGCTTGCGACGCACAAACATCAACAAGCGTCTCTGCTGTGAAAAAGAAGTCGACGGCGGTGCGTCTCCTGCAGTGCACGCGCCACAGAGGGGCTCAGCCACTCACTGCGTCGCATGCAATTTATCGGCCAGGTGATCACGCGACGGTTGCATACAGCCTCTGTCTACGAAGCAGCACGCGGAATCTTTGCTGCGCTGGCAGAGGAAGCTAGAAAAGCCCACACCGCCGCCATGACGTTCTTCAACAAGCAGCTCGTCCTCGAGGTCAGGAAGCACCAGGAGCTCTGGGACCAGCACTCGAAGCTGCACAAGGAGGCGAACATGCGGGAAGCAGCCTGGCTGGAGATATCTCGGGAGCTGAACGTGTCCGGTGAGTCGGGTCTTCTGAGTCCGTGCGGACGACTTCAGCGTAGAGAATCCCGCCGCTCATCGCGGACGCCGCTGTTGGCCTTCGCCGATGGCCTCATGCGATTTGTACTGCGTGCATCGTAGACGTCGTTCCGTGGACCTGATGAGTAAATGGAGGGAGAGTTCGATCAATGTGGTTCGATTCAGTCAACGTGCCCTCGTCGAATTGAGTTACTTGGTCTAAAGTGAGGGATTTCGCTTGAAGCAAATATGGCGTTGCACGTGATCCTGTCGGATCAGAAATTTAGGGAAATAGTTTGGAGATTAAGTTATTCCTCACCAAGCTTTCTTTAATCGTTTTTTTTTTTGTAACTGTTTTTGTTTTTTTATATTCTTCGCCAGGCAAAACGTCGTTGACGCTGTATGCTGCGGTTTCGTCTCAGCGTCTTTTGCTGTGTAAATCGAGCCCTGGATTTTCTGTCGATTAATTAATGGTACCGACACAATGCACTTGCGACATACTTGTGCAAAAAAAAAAAAAAAAAGGGAAAGTCTGGTACACTTTTGATCATAATTTCTATAGTGATGTCGCTGGTTTAAATAAAACGCTTTTTTTTTTTTTTTTTGCTTTTTGTGCAATTGATGTAGATGTAAGAACAAGCGCGAGCGCATTCACAGTACCCATATGAAGAAGTTCTGGCCTGCTGCATATCGCTTTGGCCCTTGCACGCCATCTTTAAGTTTTCCTTTTTCCTGTTTCTTTTTTTTTCTTTTTTTTTTTACGCAGAAGGCATAACAGCTTATTGCATAAAAAGTCGTGTCAGACTACAGAAACTGGTCCGTACGGAATATTAGCGCGTTTTACGTGACGGACAGTCTTATCCCTTGTGAAGAACAACCCCATCGACGGTGTGAAACGAACTTTGTGAAAGCAATTTCAGCGAGGGCTCAGCATCAACATGCACGCGCATCTGCCGGTGTACCCCGTGTATTCAACCGTGCAGAGGGCGCGTGAAGCTAACTTCGGCAAGCTTGCCATTGTACGTGCTCGTTCACACGAGCAGAGACGCCACAGCGGCCATAGATGCTTCGCTTGCAAGTTGCAACAAAAGGGATCGGTGGCTGAGGTTGTCAGCGCAGCGCAGCTCGGAGCGAGTGAAGTGAAAGCTCGCGCTGCAGAGCTATGGTTCCAGAAACTCGTCTCCGACTGGTGCATGGACCGCGTCCCCAAAAAAAGTGGTAAATCACTCGATTTTCGTCTCGTGACGTCATACAAGGGTCACGCTGTCGCCGGTCGCGATCCTGGCGGCGTCCCAACAGCTGTGGTGGATGTAGCCGGACGCCTGTTCTGTCGTAGGTCGCTCTCCAGTGTGGCAGTCCACGGAAGCTTCGGCAGCCGGAAGTTGGGACGCATCGAGGACAGCGACACTCGTGCTTTTCGCCAGCATTTCTACGACCAACCGCCAGGATTGCGACATCCGACAGCGTGACACTCCGGTTTCTGTGACGTCATTTGTTGTCACTTCGGGACCACTTTTGATGTATGGGCCGAATAGACGCTAAACGCACCAATCGAAGACGCGTTCGAGGTACCCTATACTAGAACCCAAAGAGATCTGCCCGTTTCAATCTGAAAGAGCATAGCGGAGCACAAGTTCGTCTGCTTCTTGCGCAGGAGTGGCGGTGACGTCATAACAACGCCGAGCTCTAATTAGCTTTGACTGAAAGGACAGTGGGTAGGCCACTATTTCTTTTTTGTCGATCAGCCAATAAGAGCTCGGCATTCTGACATCATCGCAACCCCTGTGCAGGAAGCAGACGGACTTGTGCTCCGCGTAGCGTATACCACTGCGGGTGTATCGCAAAGCGTCCCATTCGCATTTGAACCTCGCACATTTCGATCCATTCTCATTTGGTCCTTCTCGTTTGAACCGTTTCATCAGATCCAAATCGTGTTTTTCGCAACTGAACCCATTCTCATTTCGCCCGTTCGCGCTACGACCGAATGGCACTAGCTCGGCATGCTTCTAACGTCGTTATGCCTTCGCGGCTTTATTGATGAGCCTTACCTTGCTTGGACCCCCAACATTCCGTCAGATATATGTTATGTGTAGGTACGCACTGAGAATCGTACATTGACGCCTGCTTCCCTTCCTCTAAGCAAACAAACAAACAAAAAAAGCGGTGAACATTTAATTTGGAAACTTTGTTTGAGCAGAAATAGCAAACATAATAGCAGCGGTTTTCAACCACTGATGTTTCGCGGACGCCTCGTAGAAAGGCGGAGATGATGGAGGACTCCGTTTGGGGTGAGGGGAATAGAAATGTATAGGTTATTATAATAATGATTTAATGAATGGATATAACTAATCGCTAGTGTAAAGTAGACTTATCTCATTCATATACATACGAGAGTACTCTCCCGAAAATTGGAACGTTTCTTCTCAACGTGAAGAAAGACAACTAATATTGCCGTGCCTGACTGACGAGACAGGGCTTCGCGGACCCCTAGGATATCTTCGCAGAACCCCTTTTGAGAACCACTGCATTATAGAAGTGGTGGCATTGTCCCAAGTCGAGAGACCTCAAACAACGTGACATTTCGGGATATGATCTGGCTGCGATAAATAGTTGGTCTGTTTTATTGTCAGCTAGTAGCTTTTCACGACGACCTCGACGTACTGCTAAGATCCTTAGCAGAGAGTGTATGCCTGTAGTGTGTGTGGCACACACACACACACACATTTTATCAATGTATTAATATTACCCTAAAAAAACGATTTTGGCATAGAAAGAGTCAAGTGCGACGGGTCAAAGCGAGATATTTTTAAAAATCGCTGTTTTGAAAAGGGCCAGGTGAAAAGGGCGAAACGAGAACAGGCCCAAATGAGGAGAGTCGGATTGCGAAAGACGAAACGGGAAAGGACCAAATGCGACAGGTTCAAGAGAGAAGATCTTTTTGAAAACGGTTGTTTTGAGAAGGGCCAAGTGGAGAAGGTCGAAACGAGAACGGGCTCAAATGATAACCACCCATACCACGCGTGCGGTCACCTATTACTGCCAGTATGAACCGCTCTGACTACTGCGTGACGCACCTCGAAGGCCGCATGAGATGAGAGCGCGGGAGGAGGCCAGAACAACGAGCTCTGGTTGGTTTGATTAGAGGGTAGACGCAAAGCTGCGTGCCAACAAACTCGGGGAGAGGACGAGACGGGAGCGTGCGGGGACGGCAGAACACCGAGTTCTGATTGGAATGATTGGTGGCTAGACCTAGAGCTGCCTTTGGATTCACTGCACTCGACAAACGCGTTAGAACGCGGAACGCCGGCGTCTGGTGTTTGACTTTCGCCTTTGAATGCGTCTGACGAGTGCAGTCGAGACAGAAGCAGCTGCCCAGCTTTAGGCCTACCCACTAATCATTCCAATCAAAACTCGGCGTTCCGGCGATTGTCTTAAACGATTGTTTAAAAGCACCACAGGATGCAACATTCACTGACCGCCGCCATTACTGTGCGCTTTTACCTTCGATCGCACGTGTTGAAACCGAACGTACACCACGTTCATATATCACATCACCAAACTTGACTTAGAACGAATAATAAAGAACTCTCGCTCGTTATTATAGTTTTACGAATGCACTGGGATAGTTATGTTCCCAAGCTGTGGAACTTGGGAGAACTTTATATCACCTTTCTTATAGAGGCTATTCACGAACCGCCATATTGCTGGCGGTTGTTCACCGCGCATGCTCAGAACTATAAGTCTCACTTATCGGTTGCCAAAATTAACGATTCTGATTGCATGCAGATGCGCGTTGAACATGGATAGGCCTTGGCACTACTACCGATCAAGATCTTTGTTTTGGGCAGAAGACTTTTTTATCAACTCGCTTCTTGCTTCTTGATTAGTTTTCTCGGCGGTAGTTGGCTAATGCCGCAATTTCATTGGCTGTGCACGGATTATTTATCACATGGTCGGAACAAATAATTTTTCAAGCTCTTCCGCCTTAGCTTTGCTCTTCAACTTAAAGGCGAGATGCAAAATCACGTGGTCGTGACCTTTGGTATTTGACCGGATAAGTGACTATAAGTGATGTCCGCGGCACTTATAATCACTTATCTGGGGAAATACTATGGCCACAAACGCGAAGTCAGATATTATTCGACGGATTGATTGTTGACGAGTGCATATGTCCAAGTGACGCAGTGCTCGTGTCGAATGCTCGTGAGCTAGGGTAGGCTGACATGCTTTGTGTACCGCAGATGTATCACAGTAAAAGGCGAAAAGCTTTTGAAGGAAAGGAGGTAAAATATGGTCCGCATATATTTTCGAAATTTCGTACCGAAAAGCAGGCTTTTGACTTTCTCCCCTCGTGAACTAGTAAACGATACGCGATAGTAGGGAGTTTTCCCTGACGTAATTTCGTCCACCATTTTGTTGTGGGGAGCTGTCCGGCGCGTGCCGAAGGCGAGCATTCTAAGGGTTTACATGACCCAGAGCATAGAAGCTTACAAGCCTTACCACGCTGACATCTCATCAAGATGCAGGTTGAGATGTAATCCTTCAAATTAGTAAATTCGTTTCAAAGAAACAACAAAACAAAATGGCGGATTAACGTCATGTGAAAACGCCCGTTTCATGATAACTTGACGAACTGCGGAGGCTACGGCTCCCGCGACCCAATAAGAGCGTCGGAGTGAAACACGTGACCCCAGGTCACGAGAGCGTTCGTGTCCCTGCGCCAAATGCGAGGCCCGGAGAAACCGACTGTCGTCTGCTGGCCAAGAATCGTCTGCTGCGAAACCAACCGACTTCGGATGAACAATCACCGATGCAACATGGCCGTCCGCTGGAGTAACTAGTTCTTCGGGAACAGTTCGTGAGACAACCATACGCCCGATTTCCCGCCGGTCCGTGGTGGGTGCTAAAGCCAGAGCCCAGTGCGATGTTTTGAGCGGAAGCGGTGCACTCTCAGAAAAAAAGGAGCCAAATGAGCAAAAAAGGGTTCTTTTCGCTAAAAAA